ATCGTCAGTTCTTAGATGAAATGAAGAATATTTCAACATGAGATAAACAAGAGAAGAAATTAAGTCAATTTCTAATCTTATTATACACAAAAAAGTTATTGTACTCTTTCAATGTCGACCTTATTCTTAAAAAGAATCAACTTCATGAGTATTGTTAGTTAATAAGATTGGATATATTCAGATCAAATTAAAACTTTCAGTTGCTAACTAACAAATTTACAAAATAGGCTATTTGTTGGTGTGTCTAGACTAAGATATTCGAATTTTAAGGTATTTACAATGTATATAACCTACTCACAAATTAAAATTTCAGCAGATTTTTTTTTCGTCATTTTTAGACAGAGCTTGTCGAATTTCGTGAGGGTTATGGGAGGATGTGGGTGTCGATATGACTAAATAGAAGACACGTATCCACATCTACCATTCGAAATTTGTCATTTTATTTTCGACGAGTCAACTCTCATAACTAAAAATGATTTATTTGACTGTTGTTTTTTTTTCGTTTTACTTCTAGGCATCGGAATCGATTTGTATTGGCCAATAAATACCTTGTGCTTTTTCTTAGTAACTCTATGATTCATTTACAAACATTGTGATTTCGGAGACCAGATAATTTTTCTTGGACATCTTGTAAGTGTATTTTAAATGAAAAATTTATTAGAACAAATTATTTAAATCTTATTCATGGAGCTTCGAAAAAAAACGAAGATAAATAATTCTTGCATAGAATTATTCGCTTGCTTGTTAAAACATACCAAAAATCAAAAAAAACAAAGCAATTTTTCATTTGAAAAGGTCGATCAGGTTTGCATCAGTTTTGCTGCCATATTACCATTGTCACCTTCTTTATTAATTAGACACATGATATATATTTTCCATGGATTCACTTTTTTGCTCATTCATTTTTAGTTGGAATTATAATTAAAACAGTGGGTGAAATAGCTGGTCGTGGAATGGATTGCAAATGTGGTTCAGCTGAATGTCGTCGTCGAGTTCTCATCTTTGATTAAGCTTAAATGAGAAAAATAGATTTTGAAATAAATCTCTAGGAAGTCTTTTTAATCTTTTAAATGGAATGATTTATCTTGGTTTTAATATTTAATAAAGAATTAAGTGGAGAAACAATATTAACATATTTTTATCAAATTGGAAATCTATTTTATGATCGATTGAGTTTAAATGAACAAATTTATATGAAAAGTCTTCCAAAAATTGAAGCAATAGTACAATCAAATGAATTTATTTTATTGAAATTTTCCTTTGTTTCTGATAGTTAAATGCAATCGGTATGAAATCTAGACTTATAAACCGACAAGATCTAGTCTTGTATATATTATTCGAAAACATTTTCGTGAAGAACCAAATGAAAGATAGGCATTATCCTTGTGAAACATTTTTTTTATGTTAAAGAATATATGATGTTGGTTAACTCGATGTTGTTCAAGAATTAACTAAATATTAAAGTTTAAGTTCTAAAGAAGATTATTCAAGTACTTTAATCCTTTACTTCATGTTGTACCATTTTTGACCCATTTATAGAAACGATCTATTTGGAGCAATAAAGCATCGAATCGATATGATGGTTGCCTATTATGAGTATAATGTATTTCAGAATAGTTTTTGAAAAATTTCTTAACTATATATGTAAAAGCAAGATTTTTCATGATAGTTTGGATCATATTTGACCCATTCGTAAAGAGTAACTTTATTAGAACGATAAAAGATAGAAATTGGCAGCCTCCGTTATCATCTTTCTTCTCAACGAGACTTTAACAATAGGAATGAATGATTTGGAATTGGAATCAGAATAAATGATTCCATATTATATAGAGAACATGAAGACAAACAATTCCGATACGATGCTGGAAATGGAAGACCTGACGTTAACCTAAATATAATTTTCTTTGCAGATGTCTCATCATATATCATCCTTTGTAATATGACTCATTTTTCAAAAAATAGTTCACGATAAGTAACTCTTGAACTTTATACAAATAAAATAACAATATAACTACAAAAAAGTCAAATTAACAATAAATTCAATTTTTATGGCATTCAAGATGAATGAGTCATTTTAGACCCATTCTGCATCTCCACAGTGAAATGACGTTGCTCACATTGAACTACACCGTTATTACAATTAGCACCTACAGAAACTGTTTCCATCGTTGTCTCAACACTAAATCTATTGAATGAGTGCTTGAGGTAAAGGATTAAGCAAGATTTAGCATCGTAGTATAAAAATATTTCATTTTTCAAGTTGTGTCGTATATTCAGAAAATCAAGAATGAGATAAATTTTGAAACTAATAAACGTCTTCATCTTATGTAGAGATGAACATGGAAATGTGGTATTACTGTAACTGATAAGATTTTTCTCTCGACGTATGAGGAGACTTGAGAAAGTAATGCATCTATATCAGAATCGAGATCGATCCAGTTCGGTTAAACTTTTAAAATCAATCGATTGTCAAAACAGTTTTTTGTCAATTTTAAAGGTACTGAAGCTAGTCTATTTTATTCTTCATCAAAATTTCAAATCTAAGTTTTGAATTCACTCTTTCTCATAGTTCAATAAAGATCTCGGATTAAAGTGAATGTATTGATTATGGTCACAAAAAAGTTAGCTAGTCATTAGATGATTCAAAATTTCGAGCTCACTTTTTGAA